CAGGGTGACTTACTGACCTATTTCCGAGAGGGCCTGGACAGGCGAAAGAGACAGAGAGGGCATATAATGACTGAATGTGCACAAAGACACACACAAATACGCGAGACCACATATTCGACTGAAAAGGATATCCCCACTCAATGATGATTTTTGAGTACTTTCTTATGGCGTTCTCTTCCGAGAAGAGAAACAGTGCTTTGTGACTGGCCGGTTGCAATCCAGGCAACCCAATATGAAGTGTGCGTTTGGCCAAACTTCGCATTGATGTGTCCCTCGACGTATCGTTTGGGCTTGTGCTAGACAACAGACCTCCAACAGGTGGACCGAATCGAGCCGCCTGTATATGATGCGCCTCATCCAGCTCACCGTCCTCGTCCTCATCCACATTAGTCGAATGCGAGATGAGAGGTATATCGGCTGGTCTATGCGTGGTACCCACACCGTTGCTATGCTCCGCATCCTGGACACGATCCATGTGAGTTGTAGCTTTGCTGATGGATGCATTTTTTCGCATGGATTTTCTCTCAATAGTTGTTTTCTCCGCGGCGTTATGATTCAACTTAGGCATCAGGAATATGGTCTGGGTGAACAGTCCCTTGAGTTATTTTCCGTAAGCATAATGAGAATTTACAAATGAGAGCGGAGGCGAGGGTGTGTGAAAATGGTAATGATGGTGATGGTGATGACGATGACTGTAAAAAGCTTTCCTAGATGTGAAACACAATGAAAATCATACGGAGGTGATCAAAATTATATTATCGTATCATCCACAACTGGGATCAGATGCATTTGAACAGGGTACGCCAGTGGTCTTATGTAACCCGTTTGATACAGCTCCTCAGTATCTTTTCACCGATGCCCACTCATTAGGTCCGAGACGGGAGCCACGTGTCCTGCACAGCCCGTCTGGATGAGTATAACCACTAGAAAATCATTCTTCGTGTATAAGGGGATGAATTGAATCCACCAGTTCAGGCGAATCACACGTATATCCGCTGACAGATAAGCATATGATTTGACTAATTACTAATCGATCGACCGAGGCGAATACATCCACTCCACTGTTACATCCGGCTGTTGCGAGTGACCCTGAGCGCGAGTGTTTCGTCTTAGTTCACAAGGCCTTCCCTGTCCGACGAGAACACGAATACCGTTTGAAAACAGATGGTTTTCCTTCTTCAGAATTCACTTTTGCCGAAAACGGTGCTCAACGGATTAACGAACAAAAACGGTCGAGAATGTGCGTTAGTACGCCTGAGCTGGTGTGTGCACATGCGAGTGACCGACGAGCGAAGCGAGAGAGAGAGAGAGAGCGATGAAGAGAGCGAGTGCAGGTCGCGTAGCCAGGAACCGAGCAAACGGGAAAAGCCAATAATTGTGTGTATATGTGTATATGCTTCTTTGCTCTCGCTCTATTCACAGATAGACGAGCACAGGAAACAAATTCGTTGACACTGCCGGAACTGCTTGGTCGGTTGGGTTAATGAATGCGGATGGAGATTGCTGGCTATTCCGATGAATGAATGAATTATTTGATGGTGAACTGGATGGACGGGTTGCTTACTGAGTGTGTGTGTGTGTGTGGACCGAGTGATAGACAGCTCACTGAGGCCAATATTTTCCTCTGTAAAAGAGATCGCCTTACCTTGAACTGTATGTACACTCGCTGCTACAGAACAGAACTACGCATACACACACAAGCACACATACACACGCTCGAAACAAAACAGAGTATTGGGAGAAACATGCAAACGCCATCCGACTGGCTCTTAACTCGTCCGAACTCAATCCAAGCAAAAGTAAGCTCAAGATTGGGGCAGAATTCGTATGTACATATGTGAGTGTGTGGTGGCGTTTGTGTTTGTGTGCTTCATATGGAAAGAGATAGTAAGGTGGGGATAGAGACCGACCGAGCGTTTCACCACATCTGTAAACACGTGGATGTTAGATGGATAGGTAAACATACAACGATAGGTAGATAGACATACAAAAGGACAGGCAGATAAACAGGCAATATTAACTAAACTCACTTCGTTGCCTCACATTTACGGACGCATAAAGCATCCATGTTCAATTCATGAACGGAACTATCCTAAAGCAGTAGTTTTGACCATCGTCAGTTAGTTAATTTAGGGAAATCGACAGTGTGCCTTTTTTCGAACGAGGACATGGCTGATGATCATACTAGAGTATAAAAATAATGACTTTTTGAAGAGCGAAAAAGTCTTATTTAATAAATCTACAACAGGACTGTGGATTCAGGATGGAGATAGAAAACCCGCCTTAAATTCAGGACTGTGTCTGTCTCCTTTATAACAGCCAAACGGACACATACAATTTAGGAGACAGGTCCACTATTAGATCGAAGATCCAGGATAAAAATGTAAACATGAGGTAACTGATGCAAAATCTGCACACTGTGATTCAGTTTATTCAAAAGCAGTTCTGTCAGTTGCTAGGCAATAAATAATGAAACTAGCGAAAATAATTTCTCCTGTTTAGTAACACCTCATGAATCGAAATTTCTCAGGAACCAGCTTGAAGGGATCCAATTTCTGGTTCATTTTATTTGTAAATCACCAAATGATTGTGCGTCATCTTTGAGTTTCACATTGGTTGTCCATTCTTCGATTCTATGAATCAATTTATCTATCCGTTTTGTTCAAAACGCGGCACGCGTTTGGATAACCATCAATATGTGTTATTTATGACCATGTTCAAAAGAGATTGGATTCGCCATAAAATCTTCAAAATCAACATGAGCGATTCAGTTCATCACATGGTGTTGTAATTCCAACTTCTCACTGCTCTACTTTGATACTCATTCGGTACACAGAGGAGTTTATCATCACACGTCTTGCAGCGCCAAATAATAATGATGGTATGTATTTCTCTGATATTTGTCCAAATAAAATTTTTCATTCCATCCATTCCCTTAACTCCTCTCTGCGTTTTAGATGTTCATTCCCGGTAACTTAAAATGGAATCTATCAAGTACCGTTGTGTGAAACTGGTTAGCAGGTATTACTACTTACTTCATACTATCCACTGCAAACTGCGAGCTGCAGTCAATCATTTTCATTTGTGAATGCTTAGATTGTCGCTTGTTCTCATTACATTCCACAGATTTCATTTTTTGTTTTTCCTTTGAAAAGTATCACCAGAATAACCTAGTGAAAATTGATTTTTTTTTCATCCTGTTTGTCGAGTTTATGTGCAAACAGAGTGTGATTTACGCAACGCCGGTCATGAAATTGTCGCTCAGATTGATCTCTCAATAATTCTTCCCGTCCAACTCGTAATAATTTTTCATAATGCCAATTCAACACTATACCTTACCATTGTTGACTTTATGTTCTTATCCACAAATAGATAAGCCATTTATGTATCTCCGTTTGTGTTGAATAACGGCCTGGTAACCGCTAATTTGCAGAAAATGATAGTTCTATCCATTATTTTTTCAAGCTTTAAGTTTGCTCATTGTCACCTTACATCACAATGAGACGCCAAAATACATGTAACCTTCAGACGTTTGCACACACACGTGGCAAAACAATACAAAAATAACCACTATCCATTGAAATAATTTATAAGAAAATAGAATACATGAATAAATGATGCAGTCATTGATGAAATCCTAAAACTAAATCGTATTAGGTTATTTAATTGTTTATAAGTAAATCAAAAATACATGAACACTTGGAGAACCATGGATTTCCACCATCAACTTGTTTTAAACATGTCGTTTGTACCACCTTTTTGATAGCCAAATACCTAACTAGCTTGGACTAAACCTGTACTACTGCCATTTGACATTCGCAACTCCATCAAGATATCGGCTTAAACTAGACAGCAGCCGATGTACACCTCGGAGAAACTGGGTATAAGATGATCTTCAATTTATTTCTCCTTTTTTCCAACCCTCCCCGCTTCATTTCGTCAATTCAGGCACCGTTATCCGTAGAAAAATATGCTGGGTTTGCATCATTTTAGACAAAAAAGCGGATAGAATGGGATAGATGTTAGCTGTCCTTATTATCGTCAATTACTCACTTCATGTTCAACCGATCATCTAAATAGGCAGGGAGGTGATTTTTTTTCAAACTGAGACCGCAATATGGTACAAATGGACAACTCCGAATTCCAGCTTTGTATTAGGTCACTGAACAAAATTCATCACAATCTGGAGCAATGGGTGCTACGGAAGAAAGGAACGATTCAGGGAATTCAAATATCCATGTGACAAAAAGAAGCTCATGGTCTATGTACGGAATGCTAAAACACAACACTGAGATTGTCTTTAATCCATATGCATATCCGAAAGCCTCAGTGTGATCGGGAGGCGTGTCTTGGTTTGTGGTTTGCAACCGTGCCCCAGCATCTCGCGACAAAGCGCCTCAAATAGCCTCTGTCTGGGATGTCCTACTTACTGCATTCCCGTGGCGGAGGTATTTTTCCACCAAAGAGAGCAAACGAGAAGTCGACCTAGGGGCCATAGCCGGGTTGGTGGACCACAGACAATTCACCTGGGATAGTTAGCCAAAACTCTGGTTCAAAATCAACCAAAAGTAGGCGTATGAACCACATACACACACACATTCCTGGTTGTGGTAGTGGTGGTGGTCACCGGCTCAAATGGGTATCGAGGTGTATTGGGGAGCTTAGACGTTTGATCTATTCCAAAGGGTGTATGATCCGCGGAACAGGATACCGGACCTCAATGGATTGCGGCTTCCCCATCCCACTTCGCTCCTTTGTGCCTCAGACTTTGGCTACACGAAGGCTCCGATTGTGAATTCCACAAGAAAGTTCGCCTTCCCTGACCTTCGAAACTTGGTCGTATTCCGCCCAAATCATGGAACTTTTTGATTTGTATAAAGATTATTGTAGCGTGATTTGTTGGACGCACAATCTGGCCTCAGAAGTGTAGGAAACATATGTCGAGGCGGCAATCGGGTGATTGCTCATCGTACATTTTTGCACGATACGTACACTTCAGAGCTCATTTTATTTGCTAACCGACCTAATAAGATCATTTATACAGTGCGTCTTTTTGATTTGCGTTAGTGTTTCCGGGGCGAGCAACTTGATTCCTGGTCGGAACAGCTCTCAGCATCAAAGCCATTGCCGTGCTTAATAAGCTAGACCCTCGGAAACTTCGGACTTCTCCCTTCGACCGCTTTATTCCGTTTGTTTACCCGAGCACTCATGAGTTCATCAACTCATTCCACTTTCCGACTTTGATAGTTGGACGAGCAAGCAACTGACAACGAGGAGTAGTAGATGTAGTTTTGAACAGCGAACACGGAAACATAAATCGAATGTCGTCTTCAGTGCCTTGGAAAACTCCAATCTAGTCAATCTCAAGAGTGCTCTGTTATGGAACCGATGTTTTGCCGGTCTACGTTTCACCTCTGATAAAACTGGATTCTAATTAATCGTGACCACTAATGACCTATTCAATATAAGATTTACAGTGGAACTTTTTGCACTAATTGCTCGTTTATCATTATTTATTTTAAATCAGCTTCTGTTTAGAAGGTTCTTTATCTAAATTGTTCGTTCTTA